CGGATGCTTGGAACATAGAAGAATTCTGCATTGCCGCAATCACTCCGACTCTTCGAGAATAACTGGAAACTTCGTGAAATTTGTGAAAAAGGAGATTTCATATAACTTGGCGCAATATACTGTATGACGACGATCGAATTACCCACATTGAGAGATCTGTCGCACATGAACCGATGATATAATCATTTGGAACTCTCAAAACTACTGCCAGGTTTCCGCTGATTATACCGGTATATTCTATAATAGTAAAAGACCGGGAAGCTTATGAAGGTGAAAGAGTCTTATATGTGGAACGAAACTGTAAGGGATACAATAAATGTATATGGTGGGGTGCGCGTCATTTCGAGATGCGCATGGGTGTTATTTCAAAACCTTATATGCTATTTTTAAGAAGCATGATTTTCAAAATAACGCCCATGCCCGCTATTTCGAGATTTTACAGTAACTTATATATTTAGTCCCTAATAAAGCTATTGAAAGAATTATGGAATCCCATGAAGGTTTTTATAAAAAAATCGATCAATTATTAGAACAGCAAAAAATTATAGAGGATAAGATTACTTACCTGGAAAATAAAATTCACACGAATCAACATTTAATTACTGAATATGATTTTATTGAGGTAAGATTCATTTTATTTTTTCCAAAGGTCTTCGAAAACTTATATTTTATTTAAATAGTGCATAGTTAAGAGTATCATAAAACAAGTATTTTTTGAAAAAATATATCCGGACCCTGAAGATTTTCACCAAACAACCAAGAGATTTTTTCAGCAAGAACATTCAGAGTTTTATGAAGGCTTCACAAGAAAACGCTGGAAAACATATTATGAAAAACATATTCATTAAGCAGTAATTCTTATAAATATTAATAACTTTGGGTTCAGTAGTTATTAAATACCTTATTGCTTTAAAAGCTCATAAAACAACATCGATTGCTACAGGGAACTATGGCTTCAAAAATTCGTAACTCATGTTTTTAGTCTTTGGCAAAGGGTTTTTAGATACAATAATTATGAACACATCTGTCGCTAACATTTTAGCCTAGAAACAATTTCAGAAGACTGCTGAATGCTTTGAAAACCTTTACAAATGCCCAAAAGGAGAGACACAAAGCATGATGATCCGTATTCTCGAAAAAGTCTGGCCAAAAGGAGATGCCTTCGAGGAACAAGTGGCATTTGCCATTGCAATATGTTAAACAATTCTTGATCTGAATAATAAAAGTATTTTGATAAATGAAATGTTAATTAAAAGCAAAGTAGAAAAAAATAAG